GGCCGTGCGCGTGTGCGCGTGTGGGGCGAGCGCGCGAGGTGCGTGTGCGCGCCGCGCCCGCGCTCTCCCGCTCCCTCTCTCTCTCTCTCTCTCTTTTTTTTTTTTTTTTTTCCCCTTCCCTCTCTCTCTCTATCTCTCCAGGATTTCTTTTTTAACATGCTGGGGAGGTTTTAGTGGCACGGCGGAGTGCGCGGGGAGGCGAATTCCCCGCTGAGCGTTATGTGCGCCTTCTATTTGCAATTGCAGAGCAATATATTCGGCGGTCTGGACGAGAGCCTGCTGGCCCGCGCCGAAGCCCTGGCAGCCGTGGACATCGTCTCCCCGAGCAAGAGCCACCACCAGCACCCGCCGCACCACAGCCCCTTCAAGCCGGACGCCACGTACCACACCATGAACACCATCCCCTGCACCTCGGCCGCCTCCTCCTCCTCCGTGCCCATCTCGCACCCGTCCGCGCTCTCGGGCACGCACCACCACCACCACCATCACCACCACCACCACCACCAGCCCCACCAGGCGCTCGAGGGCGACCTGCTCGAGCACCTCACGCCGGGGCTGGCGCTGGGCGCCATGGCGGCCCCCGACGGCGCCGTGGTCTCCACGCCGGCGCACGGGCCCCACATGGCCGGCATGACGCCCATGCACCCGGCGGCGCTGGGCATGGCCCACGCGCACGGGCTGCCCGCGCACATGGGCTGCGTGAGCGACGTGGACGCCGACCCGCGCGACCTGGAGGCCTTCGCGGAGCGCTTCAAGCAGCGCCGCATCAAGCTGGGGGTCACCCAGGCCGACGTGGGCTCGGCGCTCGCCAACCTCAAGATCCCSGGCGTGGGCTCGCTCAGCCAGAGCACCATCTGCCGCTTCGAGTCGCTCACGCTCTCGCACAACAACATGATCGCCCTCAAGCCCATCCTGCAGGCCTGGCTCGAGGAGGCCGAGGGCGCCCAGAGGGAAAAAATGAACAAGCCCGAGCTCTTCAACGGGGGCGAGAAGAAGCGCAAGCGGACTTCCATCGCCGCGCCGGAGAAGCGCTCCCTCGAGGCCTACTTCGCSSTGCAGCCGCGGCCCTCCTCCGAGAAGATCGCCGCCATCGCCGAGAAGCTCGACCTCAAGAAGAACGTGGTGCGCGTCTGGTTCTGCAACCAGCGGCAGAAGCAGAAGCGCATGAAGTACTCGGCGGGCATCTGAGCCCGGCCTGGCCGGGCCGGGCCCAGCGCGGCGGGGACGGCGCCGACACGAACACCCCAGCGCGCCGGGGGGTGCGCGAGGGCCCCCTGCCCGCCCCCCTGCCCCCCTGCCCGCCCGCGCAGGCAGCGACCGCCGCGAGGTAGGGGCAGCGCCGCGGAGCGGGGCCGAGCGCCGGCCGGGCGGGATGGGCTGCTCCGGGTCGGCTTTTGGCGGGGGAACGGGGGCTGATTTGTTTTGTTTGGCCTTTTCTTCTTTTTTTTTTATTTATTTATTTTATTTTATTTTTTTTTGGTACTCCCTCTCCCCCGAAATCAAATCGACTCCAGGCTGAAACTTGAATCTTAGAGGCGAAGGCTCGCGCCGCCCGCGAGAGGCGCCTCCAAAAGTAGTATTTTGATTTAAAAACAGAGAAAAAAAAACAGAGAAAAGGAAAAAAAAAAAAAAAAAGATGGCAGGTTTTTCTGCATTTACACTGCGAATTATAAATATATATATATATTATATATATTTTTACTGTGGTTATTACCCTATTCCTTCTCCGGAGTTATAACGCTTAGGGAAAGAGCTGATCCTGCTGTGTTCACCGGTCTTGGGAAGCTATTATTAGATTACTGCCAAACAACCCCTTGTAAATTATTAATTTATCTCTCTAGCAACTTCATTCCATGCTCACCCTAATTAATTACACCTTCTTAATCTAAGTCTTGATAAAAGTAAAAAAGAAAAAAAAGAAAAAAAGAAGAATAGTGGGGATCAAACATTTTGTGTTGGTAGGAATTATGGACGTGAGCTTTTCTATCCCCCCTCTTTCTTCCTCTCCTCCTCCTCCTCCTCCTCCCAGACGTCCCCTTTCGGCCTCCTGTAAATTGTCCCCGGGATCCCGTCGCCCCGAGCCGCGCGCGGATCCCCCCGCGCGATCCGTGGGGCCGGACCCACGGCCCGGGCGCCGCTCTGGGCGCTGCGGATTTCACGGGGACCCCGGCGCTTCCCCGCGGAGCCGCGGGGTTTTATCCATTTATTTATTTATTTATTTGCCTATTTATTCACTCGCTTGCTTATTTATTTACTTGTTTGGTCGGTCGGTCGTTCCGGTTGCTTATTTCTTACCGTTAATTGCGATACTTCTCCGCGGGCCAAGGTCTGTCTTATTTTTTCGTGGCGGGGGCGGGGGGCGGGGGGTGTCTGTTTGTGGAAAAGCCAAATTGAAATTTTTGAAGGAAGAGAGCGAGCGAGCGAGACTGCACTGCTTGTAAATTCACATTGTTTGGTACAATTCTTTTGGAGCAACAACAAGAAAACAGGGTACTCGGTTTGGTACCTGTACGTATTGTAAATATTTCATTCGAATTGACGCACATATAGATATATTCTTACAGATTTCGCTGTACCGCTGTTCTATCTGAGACTATTTGAAGTCTTAAGTTCTTGTACATGACGCGATTTCGTTGGTTTTGTTAATAGGAGGTTTATTTATTATAGTAATGTACTAAGTTATTTTTAAATGTCGTTGGATCGTCTTTCATTAAAAAAAGATTTTAACGTTTTATTGGCAAAGCGCGTTTCATTTTGCCACTTCTCTCCTTTTCGCCAAAGAGCTCGACGTCGCGTCCCGGCCGCTCGCATATATATATATGTATATATATATATATATGTGTGTGTGTGTGTGTGTGTATAAATGCGTGTGTATAATTGGGGGCGTTAATAACCCCGGCGAGGCGGGGGGGTTTCCCCCCGCGGGTGGTTCGTGGCGCGCGGCGGCCCCGCGTGTCCGTGGGACGGGCAGAGGCGGCCGCGATTTGGGGCGGGGGGGACAGCGCGGCCGGCGGCGGAGCCCCCAAAGCGGCGGCCCCCGAGGGCACCGGTGCGTGGGACTCGTGTGCGCGGGGTTTGCGCGTGGGCCGGGCTGCGGTTGGGCTGCGGGACGCGCCCCTTGCCGCGGCACCGCGGCTGCTCTCTGCGCCGCGCAGGCTGCCCCAAAACGTGCCAAGAACCAGGGAAAACCGAAACGGGAAGGAAATAACCAGTGCAATCAGCGAGCGCCGCTTGCCGAGTGGTGGGGAGCGCGGGCGGGCGGGGATCGCGCGGCCGGGACCCCGCGCGGGGCGCGGAAGATCCGCGTTTCGGCCGCGCGGGCCGTTCGCTGCCGGGATCACGGTTATGCGGATCGGAGGCAATGACCGTTTCCCGTGGATTCTCCCTGCTCCGAGATGCGGACAATCCCAAACCCCCTCCCAAAAAATATTAAAAAACCAAAGCCAACGTGTGCGCGGTGCGGGGCGGTGCGGGCAGCGCGGCCCTGGCGCGGGGCCCCGCGGCCGAACCGGGGCCGCCCCCGGGGGTCCCCGCTCGGCGGCGGTTCCGGCGCGGAGGCTCCGCGGCCGCGTTGAGGGCGAGCCGGGGCTCGAGGGGCGCGGGGCCCGGCCGGGACAGCCCCCAAAGCGGCCCCGCGCGGCCGGCGGCCCCCGGCCTCCGCCGGGCCCCCTTCCCCGAGCCCTCCACTTAAAGGCTACTACGGGCGAATTAATAAATTACACAGCGAATTATTAAATCCGGATAATTACCGGGAATAAGTAAGTAATCATTAGTTATCTCAGCTAATTAGTGCGGGTCAGAGCGAGCGAGAACGTGAAATGCTCCCCGGGAATTGGAATTAACTTTGCGCGGGGCGTCGCTCTGCAGGACGCCCCCCACGAGCCGCCGCTCCCGCTCCCACCCGCGCAAATTCCCTGGAAACGCAGCAGAGACTGAGGGGCCAACGCGGAGCCGCGCGGGGGGGCGGCCCGGGGCTCCGCGCGCGCCCCCGCGCCCCCCTTTGTCTGGGGAGACAATGGGCGCCCGGCCCCCGCGCTGCGGCCCCGCAGGAGCGGAGCCCCCCGGCTCCTCCATGCACTCATTTATCACCCCCCCGTTATTATTTTCCTTCATTTTTACCCCCCCCCACTTTTTTTTTCTCCTTTCATTTTTTTCCTCCTCCTTTCCTTTTTCTCTTCTGCACTGCCCGAGCCAGGCTTTGCCCACATTAAAACAACAACAGCGGCAGCAACTGCTGCGCCTGTACAGAGAGGAAAAATATCCAGGCTGCTCTGCCTTTATCAATTGCAATTAGGTGGACAGTCTTCCCCCTCTTCCCTTGCTCCAGCCCGGGATGATAATTAAAATTTAATGAAGCCTGGGAGTAGCAGAGCTCTGTCTGGGGACTGTGGAATAGAATATTTTAACTGTACATTTACACCAAGTGTCTGGCTTCAAAGACGTGACTGCTTTTAATCTCGAATTAGAAAACCACAGACCTGAAATTAAATATTAGCCACCCTGGGCTCCCCGCGCAGGGTCACGCTCGTGTTTCCCGGCGCTGCCCCGCAGCTCCCGCACCCAACCCGCACCCACACGCACCTCGGCTCTCCAATTACCCTCTCGTTAATAATAGATGCCCATGATAGGGCGCGGGATTCCGGGCCCGGGGATTTTTTTTTTTTAATGGGGTTAATGCAATATTAATTGCTCGTGGCTGCTATAAGAGCGCGTCGCGGTTTTCCAGCAGCAAATCCAGGGAGCGGGACAGCGAGCGCGGAGCGAGGGGAGCAGGATCCGCCCCCCCCGGGCCGCCCAGGTGAGAGCAGCGCCCGGGCAGGGTCGCGCACAGCGGGGCAGGGCCGCGCAGGGCCGCGCAGAGTCGCGCAGGGCCCGGCAGGGCCGCGCAGGGCCGGGCATGGCCGCGCAGGGTCTCACAGAGCTGCGCAGGGCCGCGCAGAGTCGCGCAGGGCCGGGCATGGCCGCGCAGGGTCTCACAGAGCTGCGCAGGGCCGCGCAGAGCCGCGCAGGGCCCGGCAAGGCTGGGCAGGGTCTCGCAGAACCGCGCAGGGCTGCGCAGAACCGCGCAGGGTCGGGGGTCCGCGCGGTTTCTCAGCATCTCCGCGCTAAGGGACCTGGGCCCGAGGGGGCGAAGCGCTGACCTTGGGGCAGGAGAAATTGCGAATTAGGGAGGAACTGGAATTTGGGACGGCGGACGGGGGGAACCCCGTTCAGGCACCTCCAGAAATCCCCGGGAAAGGTCCCCGGGCCCCGCGGGCGGCCGGGATTCCTGCTGGGGCGGGGACTTTGCTCCCGGGCAARGGGACCGCTTGTTGCGGTGTATGTGCCTGTGTTTGCACCGGGTCTATACATATATTTATTGGTACACCCCTATATCTCCTGGAACAACTGAAAAGGGCACTTGAGGGAGGACAGGCGGCAAAGGCACCAGCTGGGACGATTTGCACGTGTATGTATGTGCGCGCGTATATGTGTGCACAAATGTGCGTGCATCTGTGTATGTATATGTGCGTGCATCTGTGTGCACGTGTGTGCAGGCGCGTGCGTGCAGCCCCGCGCTCCCGCATCCGCGTTCAGGAGGGCGCGGGGCTGGCGGCGTCGCGGGGCTCCCCTCGCCTCTCCTGCCCGTTTACACAGAACGAGATCATTTACATAAAGTCCTTAAGGCAAATAACTGTTGGGGCTCTAATTTATATCTGATCGAAAATTAGCCGTCATTATGCGCTCCATTAGCAGCGTCTTTAATGTGCTTCTAAGCACCATTTGTCAAGCGGCTTGTTAATATCCTTCAAGTCTTTAAAGTTGAGAGCTCATTAAAGAGTGCGCTCCGTTATTGATGTAATTTAGATGAGTTCGGAGGAGCGCGCGCCACGCGCACCCCCCGCAGGGGCCGGGGCCGCGCGCGGGCAGCGGCTCCCGCCGCGCCGCCCCTCACCGCGGCCTCGCGCTCGGGGCCG